TAGTCTCAATCAACCTGTTGTTAGCAAGCTGTATCATGGATAGAACCCAAGGATAATGCCACTGAAGTCTAAAAGGCACTAATAATAATCTGGCAGTTGCCACAATCCTAAAATTAGGAAAGAACAAACTAGGTTTGGCTAAAAGCATGGAAAGTTTGAAATGCCGAAAGCCAATTCTCATTTCTAAGAAGCTTGCAAAGATATGAAAATCTCGTAATGACATACATCACTCAAAAGATCATTCAGCCACACACCATCCACATCAATGTTGCGATAATAGCAGATAGCAGCAAGGACCCACTGGACAAAGAGAAAAGTATTTTATTTAATGGAAAAAAGACTCATACCTGCAACAACCACAATGGTCAGAACATCTCCAATTTTCTTGATTCTAGAGACACCTTTCTTGTGTGATCTGAACCGCCTTAGAGAAGGGTCCTCAGCTAATAACTGCAGACATTCAACATATTAAAACTCATTGCATCACATACTTAGCAACTAAATTCCCTCACACAAATGCCAGAGGCGAACAAAAAATTAGATAGATATTTATTTACCCACGTGTAGAGGAATGTTCTTCGTGTGATGCAAGGAATAAATATTTTCAAACATAGTGCTTAAGAAAGTATCGCTACGGAAATCATACATGCTGAGTTTGAGAACATACTACATAATGCAAAGCAAACCCGTAATTTTCACCAATACTATGAACACATCACTTTTAACCAGGGTTTCAGGCCATTAGCACGGGATCACATTAGTTAAGAAAACAGCACGGCGACCTCCCATCCCCTCTAATTTCCTAGACCTAAATACAGGAGTTCGAACAGGTTCGAAAAGCTTCCATCTACACTAGGGTCGAAAGATTCAAATACAATAAAGCGAAAGGAACTAGATTACCAGCCATACAAGAAAAACTGAACATATAATTATGAGATATCAATTAACATAATGGAGCAGCGATGAGCTACAAGGAACTAATATCCCAAACCATGGAATAAACCGCTACACGAACAATTAAAGATAGCAATTAACAAGGAGAAAGTAAAACATGCTTACAGCCTTTTCACGAGTTCCTGGCTCGACGTGGAATCCACGGCGCGAGAGTGATGAAGGATCCACCTGTTGGTCAACCAAACAACTCAAGAGATTGATTGAGAGAAAAAAAAAAAACGATTAAGAAAAAAATAAGCTAAGAGGCGATCGAAGGAGAAATAACCTGGGATTGAGATCGGAAACGAGAGGCAAGAGCGGTTTTGTTGAGCAAAAACGCCATTGTTCCTGAGTAGGAGATGCGAGAAGGAAGAGGAGAGCTGCGATGGTGAGATGAGGGAGAAATTTGGTAATGTAAAAACCTGAAGGGAAAGTGGGCTTCTTTCACTGCAAACAGAAATGGATTCAGCCACTTTAACGCAATATGAATTGCCTTCAATTTTGCCACTTTAAAATTACGTATTTCTATTAGATTACGACATACTTCAACAAGATAAATTATTATATTCGGTAAAAAAAATTATATAAAAAAAATATTATTTTTTTAATTTAAAATAATATTTATTAGCGATAAACTTGAAGACCACAGACTGCCGCTGAAATACAAGTGGATTGTGGATGGCCACGCGTTTAGACATGCAAGGAGGAAGCAGGGTGAGAATCAGCTTCACCCTGGCGTAAGACTTCGAATGCAAACCACAGGAGGAGAAAGCTAGAGCATGGCGTTTGGAGCAGCTGCCACTGCCACTGCCACTGCCATGGCATCTAAGTTTGCTGGAAGGATCGGTAATCCAATTCGGCTATCAACTTCTCGGCTTCCCAACCTCCGCCTCCATCGCACTCCTTTGCTTCTTCCGCAATCGTTCTCCGCATTTCGGACCAATCAACCCCGTAAGATTCATTCGCCCTGCCTCTCTATTCGCGATCCTTTTACTTGTTTTTCCGATTAAAGATCTGCGAGTCATTTACAAGATGATAGACTTCTGTTTGAATGGCTAGAGCCAGAGAAGAAAAATGGCGAGATTAATTGCATGTTCATGTGTGCGCCTTTTGCAAATTGACTCGTGGTTTTAAACCTAATGGGTTTAGGGTGGTATTGTCTAAAGATTAGTCTCGTTCAATGAAATTAGCTTCTCTCGGAAAACAGCACACCATAATCTCCCTGAAGATTGATGAACAATGCAGGATTGAAATTCCAAATTTGCGCTATAAGTGAATCTGCAGTAGATCCTGTTTCTTCGAACAGAGAGCATGGAGAACGATCGCCTGAAAGTTGGAAGATCAAAATGCTCTATGATGGAGATTGCCCACTCTGCATGCGTGAGGTTGTACCGAGCCATCTTGTTTGCTTTTAAATTTAGCCTATGGAATCGCTCTTAGTAGAATTTGGCTTTTAAAATTGTTGATCAATGCCCTTATTTGTATCTAATTCTCTGTGAGTTCTTGGTACTGCCAGGTTAATATGCTGAGGGAGAGGAATAAGCGATATGGCACAATCAAGTTTGTTGACATAAGTTCAGATGATTACACCCCAGAAGAAAATCAGGGCCTTGACTACGAAACCGTATGACATTTTATTTCTGGTTTCTTAATGATTGAATATTGATAGATCAATTATCTTAATTTTGAAAGTATTGATTGTGGTTCTTCTTCCTGTTGTCTTTCTGAACATTGCTTGATTGCGCCATATCATGAATTATCGATAACAGGAAGAAGAATCACAATCAATACTAACATTACTTGATTTTGAATAATACTAACACCATGAACTATCGATCCATCATTATTCTTGTTACGACCCAATTTTCGAGGTTTCGAGAAATCGAACCGTGATGAAAATACGGTCGTGACAGATTGGTATCAGAGCCAGACACCGGGTGGTGTGCCAGCGAGGATGCTGGCCCCTAAAGGGGGTGGATTGTGAGATCCCACATTGGTTGGAGAGGGGAACGAAACATTCTTTATAAGGGTGTGGAAACCTCTTCCTAGCGGACGCATTTTAAAACCTTGAGAGGAAGCCTGAAAGGGAAAGCTCAAAGAGGACAAAATCTGCTAGCGGTAGGCTTGGGTGATTACAATTCTCATTTACTTCCTCAGTCTGCACTTATGAAATTCAAGGACCTATTGAAATGTGTAGTGTCTTTACAAATTTTTCTATTAAGAAAAAGTGGTTGTTATTGGACCAAAAAGAAATCAAACGAGTATTAGTTACTTTATTATATGGCAATTTTTTTTCTCAGTCTCCAAGGAACAATTATGAAGTATTACACATTCCATTGTCATTCAGGTTATGGGAAGAATCCATGCTATCCTTGCAGATGGTACCGTGGTCAGAGATGTGGAAGTATGCTCCTCTTTTTCCTTCCTTTCCTTTTCCTTTTCTTGTTCTTAAATTCAGTTATAAAATCATGATTATATTATATCATAGTTTTCTGTTGGGTCGCTCGTTGTGCAACTCGATTATTGTAAGTAATACACCTTTTCCCTGCCATGTGATGTAGTTAAAATTTTGGCTTTTATCAACCTCGAGCTTGTTATTTCTCTCATCCGTTGATCATTTAAAACATATCTTGTTCAAATATTAGATGCTTGACAACCTTGAGAACACAGATTTACTCGATAGATTGTCTCTGTTTTCCCCCTACCGTGCTTCTTCTGCAGGTCTTTAGAAGACTTTATGAACAAGTTGGTCTTGGATGGGTATATGCGGTTACAAAATATGAACCAGTAAGTCTTCTCGAACTTATTTGAGCTTTCATCTATCTGCTCCACCAGGCTCAATTTTTATCCCAGGACACTGATTTCTCAATGCCGTCACATTGTTGCTTATGAACAACTTATTTCCACAGGTTGGAACATTAGCGGATGCTGTATATGGTCTCTGGGCAAAATATCGTCTTCAATTGACAGGTGAAACATGACCGTGAGATTTTTAGATAATATAGTTTCTGTGTATATGAGACCCCAAATGGCTTGCGTACAGAAAGAAAAGTATAACTCCTTATGTATGCCTTACATCCATAGCAGTCTTCTTGTGCCTAGAACTTGTTGCGTGGTTAATGGATTTCCACACTTGGGAACTATCCACATAAGTGCGTTTTTTTGACGAATTCAAAATGCTGTCTACTCCTTCAAATATCAATTCGTAGCTGCATTAACAAAACTGACGAGTCTTGAAGTTCTTGATGGTTTTACAGCATGGTTGTGATCCTATTTCTTTGTCACTATGATATGGTTTCAGGTCGGCCACCGCTGGAAGATATTCTGGTTGCACGAAAGAAAAACAAGGTAAACTTTTGTGCTTTTTATGAATTCGTCAGTTTTAACTTAACAAGAATGAGCTTCTCACAAGAAAGAAATGAAGAATTCTTCTTTGGCCTATCTTTTGTTTATGGACTTAGAAGTGGACATGAAATTAAAATAGGAATTTGGACATCCTTTTCTCACAACAAGCTTATCTTCGGCTTCTGGTTGAGGAATGATTGATCTTTATAAACATATGCATATACATTCGGCGTTTTCTGCACAGGATGAAGTATGTAATGACAGCAAGGCTTGCAAGGCGTAATCCTTCTACACGGGATGACAATTTTCACTTGGTCATTGGATTATCAGAAAGGGAGAGAGCTAGTATACGTTTCTTTTACGTTCCTGTATACATGGCTGCCTTATAGACTCATAACAATACTTTATACGTAGTCCACAAAATGTCAAATGTACTCTTAAGTAGATATCATAGGCACTTCTTCCCAGCTCTCCTTGTACTCAACAATCTCGTTGCTTTTCCTAATGAAAGGTATTGATTTCTGCTTCTATTTATAACATCTTGCTGATTCAAGAAGCTAATAAACTCATCTAAGAAAACACTTGTTTACCGTAGTTGTTTAACGCCCTATCAGTCCTCTAGAAGAAGGCTAAAGTAAGGTTCAATATACTGAAAAGAAATAGTTCATAGACACTGAAAAGAAATAGTTCATAGACACTGAAAAGAGGAAAAAGAGAATTTTCTCAAGACATGAACTTCTTAACAAAAAATTATATGCACTATTAAAAAAAACCTCCCATTCCCAATGTAAAAAACAGGCTGAAAGAGAGTTTGTTTTGTACAGAAATGTATAGCGTAAAGAACCAAAGATAAGGATCTTGAGCATTCCGATCAACCATCAACTGAGACCAGATACTTTCTGATAGTGTCGAAAATTGCTACATAATGTACACACACTTGATCAGGGAGAAAATTCTTCTGGCTCAGATACGGGCACAGCAAGGCACCTAGAAAAAACTGCATAGCCCCGTCTCCATACCAAATAGCACGTACCACCCCGAGCTTCTCGTCATAACCGCACACATTTTAACCTGGACATTAGTGTGTTTTCCAGTATCAACCATGGTCCATTTTTTCCTTTCCACGACCACCTTTGTATCAATCAAATCTGCGTTTGTTTCTCCTAATAAACAAGAAGTACCATTGCAGCACACCATATACCTTAGTCCATCTAGTTTGTGCAACACCTTTTGGAGTAGCTCGTGATTCTAAAATCGAGCTACATTGGAAACCAGCAGACTCTAAAACTTGCATATGATCCACATCGAAGAAAGATGAATTTAGCGGCTCGGAATCACAGATCAGGGAAGAGCTGGGATAGTTTGGGGAACATGGAATCTGATCATGTCTTACTACCATGGAATCAAAAGCCTGCAAAGCATGATCGTCCAAACCACTCACATTCTCAATAGATCCCATCGATGAAATTATGTCAGAAGAATAGGCATTGGATGGTGTGAAATCAAAGCCACTAAATTTTGGAGAAGCCAAATACTTGATACCATCATAAGAATGGTCCACCATCGGTGAGCTCGGGGTGTAAAGGAACTGAGAAGAGCTACCTACAAGAGAAGTTTCATCATCCATAGAATCAACTTGTTCCCAGTGTTCGTATGCGGAGATAACCAAGTTGTGAGCATCAGCCTGAGTTCAGAAAAAACGTTAACAAATCAGCTGAAAAGAATGTAAAACAACTGAAAAGAATAATACATGTATATTTAGAAGAGACAGGAGATGAGTGCCTTTTCAGTTTCAGATAGCTTATCTATGGGAACGTACTGGTAATCTGAAAGTAGCCCCATCACTTGTCCTACAACATTAAAGACCACTCCGCTTTTCGGTTCCAAATCGTGAGGTTTGTACACATAAATCTTCTTATTGAGCACACATGTCTGCGCATGCTCAATTGTAGCTTCCCACATTTTGGTAGGCATGCCACCAAGAATCTGCATTTTAAGACGAAAAAAACAGTAACGTCGCTTGCATATGGAATACTTTGGCTTAAATTTCTACTAGCAAAGCCAAATTTTGCATAAAATGATAGATGTTACACGAGGAAAAGGTATTATTACATTACGAAGCCTTGAAGGTTGTACATAAAGTTGACTTAGGAAATCTTGCACCGTCTTGATTTTTTCTTGGCTCAGGCGCTTATGATACGCTCCATCTTTGCTAATTTTCTGCAATCTCCATACTTCATCTTGCAGAGATGGAGGATGGTGCTTCTTGTACACTGAACAAAATGGCAGAGGTTAGATTTAGAAAGGAACCATGCCCAGAAAATCAAATAATATAGCTAAGTACTCACATTCGCCACGGTGATCCCTGACCACAAATGATGCAGTCTTCGCTTCTAGTATTCTCGTTTCATTATTGTTGTCTAAAATTCTTGCACCCAGCCTGAACCGACGGCTTCTAGTCCAGCTAGAATTATCAGTGAAAGAAATCTCACCCAACAAACCAATGCCATCTTTGAGGTTCACAAATGTATCTCCTGTAAGAAGTGATTTCTTTCCTTCCCTTTCTCTAACAATGTTGTTCTTAAACTCTTCTATAGTGTAATTATCAACTCCACTCTCAAAATCACCCTCCAGCACTACAATTTCCACTTTGGCTGAGGATTGTGGCTCAGTGTCAACAATTTTCCCACTTTGAGTATCAATCAAAGCCACCTTCAAGTTTGAACCATCTCTTCCTTCAATGCGAGCTCCAGTAAATACCGGGAGAGATATATCAGTTATGAACTTCAATTGAAAGCATCTTGGCTCGGAAGAACAGATTTCTTTCCCTCCATTTTCATCATTCCTTAACATAAATCCATTGATATTTCATCAGCACCTCAAATATATTATCCATATATAGATGCTTTCGGATTTTTAACGACTTATGATCAGATTTCACCTCCTCTCTATTCCTTTGCACATTGGTCATATGCTTCAGCAATTAAACATAAAATCATGAGAAGTTACCTTTGCACATTGGTCATATGCTTTCTTAGTGCCAATTCAACCTCCTCCTTTACCTGTCAGCCACAACTAGCAAGCTTACAGCAAATGCTAAAATTTGCAACTCAAGGAATAGAAACATTAATGCATCTGTTGAAACATAAATTGAAAAGTCTACTTGGAGTAAGTTATTATTGTTCAGACATGAAGGTAATTGAATAGGTCAGCATTCTAGAAATAGAAAGAGAGGTAGTCTTCATACCCTATGACACGTTAGAGGATTCGTGGACCTTATATTTTACGACAATCCTTTTTTTACCGAAAAGAATAGGAAAAGATCCTCAATAGTTTGGTAAATGCTTAGACTTCCATCCCTATTCATAAATTTTCTACAGCAATGCTATGAACATATTTCTTTTGGTGATCATGCTTACCACTTTACGTATGAGTGGCTCCAATAACTTTTGCATTGATTGCGAGAACAAAGCATCCTGAACCACACTGTACATAAAAAAACATCATAACAAGTGATTAGAACAAATTAAAAGTATTCAACGTATATACAAGAAATGGACATTCAAGACTCCAAGAGGCTGTGTTATAGCAGAGGCCATGACAAGAATCAAATGCCCGACTAATGTCCTGCCCCTGTCACAATTGCACTTCAACACGCCCTGAATGAGCATGACCGCGTCACCCCCCATCCCAATTGTCTTGGTCTTCCTAGTATGCGACCAGCTCTTCTCTGAGTCGTAACTAGTTTGAGTGAGTCCAACCAATTCCCCATTTCCTATATTCATCACAGAAGATCATGTTTGATAGCTTCATCAAGAGAACTTTATCCTTTAGGGGAATCTCAAACAAACTCAATTGCACAGCGGACACTCATTATGATTCCCCATATAAATGCATCATTTTACTCTCTCCTCAGAAAAGACCCAAGAATTCACCCAAAAAAGACTCAAACATGAATCATCAAGCTCTTGTACCAACTCAAGTAGGATAAATACAAACAGTTCTCTCAAAATTGAATTAAACCAATGAAGCCAGATCGCACCAAGTTCCTACTTCGGATTCTAACCTTCCGGCAAATGGAATTCAGGTTCAAAACATAAATCAGCATTGCTAATGAAACTCACTCGGAATCCATATTGCAAGGAAATATAACAGAACCCCAGTATAATCAAAGAGGAAACATCAAAAAAAGAAGTAAGATAGAGAGAAAGAACAGTGCAGTACCGAAAGAAACTAAACTTCCTACGCTTATCATCGGGATTGTCACCATCCGCCGGAGCATCTCCATCATCTGGGTTTCTTTTCTGCGACGACATAGGAGGCAAGAAGACATACAGACACGGGATGAAGCGGTGGTATTGCCGAAGATTACAATGAACTAAAAAGACCAACATGCGGCGCGAGAGACAACAAAAGATATACAAATATGCGAATATATACAAACCCACATAAAGAAGCAAAAATTAACAGCGATCCACCAAAAAAAGAAAAAAATCTACAAAAGAAAACCATCCGATCCCCTTCGTTCTCCATCGAAGTTCTCCTAGCCTTCATCCAAATTCGGGGCTCTTGCCCTGAAACTCAATCGTAGTCGTCATTTTTGCCCTCAAAGCTTTCAGGGTCATTCTGAAAAACAAGAAACTGGTGCTGTGACCAAGTCCCGCCGCGAATAAGAGGCGTATAAGCCAGAAGGGCAGCAGAAAAAAAGGAACGTTAGGTGGGGACTTTTCCGGTTGGGCAAAAGGCAAAGGGCCGGTGGATTGAGTAGCCAGTCAGAGAAAGCGGGAGCGTATGGGTGGCGGAATGAGCCCTGGAAACCGCGTCGAGCATCGGCGCTAAATGGACCCTTTTGCACGTCTTTCTGCCTCGGCCCATAACATCGCTTTCCCTTACCAGATTTACCATACCATTATGCCCCTAAGTAGGCCTACTCTCCTCAAAACAATTATTAAATATGCCTCACTCTAATGCTCAATATTTAAAATATGTAACTTTAAAAAATATATGTATTATATAAATAATTATTTGACACAAATATATATAAAATATATATATATATATATATATATATATATAATTTACAAATTTAATATTTCAAAATTAGATAAAGTTGGAGGATTCAAGTCCACCTTTGTTTTTTATTTAATAAAAATATAGTCAAATGCTTCATTAATTTTTTTCAATGATTCAAATATTTTTAAAATTTTAAAAGAAAAAAACGCAGTCTTACAAATTTTTAAAAGGGTTTTTATCATCAAAAAATAATTTGAAATTGGTGAATAGTTATCTTTATAAGCATGCTACAATGGGTGGATTAATTATCATAATATTTGTCACCAAATCATTAGTCAAACGAGTGATAGCAACGTATAAATAAGTAGGAATACTTTGGGGGCAAAAAAGTAAAAAGGAGACGTGAATCTCAACTCAAATTGGTCTCATTTCCACGAATCTTCCTTTGTACTCTCAATCTTACATCACTTATCATAAGCCTTTAAGACTTTGGAATGACACAATTACCCCCAGCTCTAAGAGGCCAAATTCGATAGTACCAACCCGCCATGCCAATCCACGTGTTTCACTTCAACCATCACTAAAACCCCTGCTTCAATAATAATAATAATAATAATCCACTTTGCACTAATTTAAGAAATTCTTATATTAAGAAATTATTTTCTAAAATGATTTTATGTTAATTAAAACTTCTATTTTTTTTTTTATTGTACTTTGAAAAGTTTATTATGGGTAGTGAAGTATGCAATCTACCTGGACCTCCTAATATGGCTCCCTCACTCACACTCTCAAATATGGCAAGAATAACTTGAACGTTGTTCTTGTACTTGCTATCTATAAAGTCTTATTGTACCTGCATAGTCTTTGTAATAATATCAAGCAACGACCTAATGAGAATTCTATAAGCAATCAAGTCTATCCCATTTATAGGTACACAATTTTGCTTGTACTCAACTCAACATATTTTTCGTTCAAGTAATGACCTCGACTCAAATACAATACTACACTAGTGTGAGATTCATCCTTGCAACTTACCTTGTCAACCTAACATGCCTCGATGTCTAAACATTCATGTTGGTGAGTACCTCTTTCAAATTATTGCTTGTTGTTGAACTTCAATTTTTCATTTGTTCAATGTTTATGTAACAAGACATTTCTATATGGTGATCAACATCAACATATGGTAACCGTAGTTTTAGTAATTACAAGATCGTTAGATTATTGAGGAAGTACCTGAGTTTGATTGTACCAAAAATAAATGTTGAAGGATGCTCCATCTCTAACAAATCTCCCAAAATCTCTCCCATCCATTGCTCCATCTTCTTTTTAACCCCCATTCATCCCCTCCATTTTCCTCACACCGCAATTGCTTCCTTCTTCCTCCTCACCACACTACACTACACTACACACACCCCTTCCACTTTTCCACATCCAGAGGAAGCAGGTTTTCCCCCACCTCCTTCCTCTTCCGCCATGGCCTTCTTTCACTCTCCCGCTCTTCTTCTTCTACTTTTTCTATCT